AGAGGCAGAAGCTTTTTATGGGTTTCAGGGAAGAAATGCTTTTACCAAACTGGGTCAAAATCTGTGTTTTCTTGCTTTGTATTTTCTCTCTCTGCCAGGCTCCACTGCAGGATTCTGCAAATTCCATTTTCTCCTTTATGTGCAAATTCTGCTGATCACTTCCACCTTCCTAACACCCCTCCTGGGTGCCCCTGCCTTCCTTCCATCTGTGCTGACACCACTATTTTGACTGCGTGTATTTGAAGTGTGGCCATGCCTTTTCTCTCAGTCTTACAGTCTGGAGTCCTTAGCACGGGCAGGGCACTGTGTTGCTGCTGCCCAACCTTTAAAACTGTCCTTCTGAAGTGATTGGAAACTCAATAACACCTGAGGATAACACTAAGAAAAATAATCCAGAATGCTCAACTGATTGTATATTGAGAGGTGGGTAAGGAGGAGGCAGAAGGTTTTTTACATTTTAAGTATTTTAAAAGCATTTTTCAAATTTGTGTGTTAAACAACACACATGCAGAGGTCAGTTAGTGAATTTTAGTCTGTTTTGATGTACTTAGTAGTACATACATTGTTTGACTAATGGGTGAGTGAATTTAATGGTTCACTGAAGTTTTTGTACTTCAGAAAAATTATTTCTGTGCTGATGCTGGGTTGTGAGTGCCTCAGCTGTGATACATTCCATGCACAGGACATCATGAGCATTCTTGTTGTCATTGTCTTCATTGTAGCTGGCATCCCAAAAGTGTTTCTGTTGTCCATTATGACAAGGTAGTTAAGATATATACATTATTTTCAGGTTTTTTTCTAAGTTCAAGACATATATACATATGCATATATGTATATATAGAAACATATTTTTGTAGTAAAGCGTTTGGCATCTTCACAGTAAAATGATCTCTTGTTGCTCTTCTTCTTTAGCATGATCACAATTATACCTGGGCTTTTAAAAGTAAATCTTTAGCACAATCATTAAGCAGCTTTGCAGATTGAAACATATATGTCAGTAAAAGAGAATGGCAATGTTTTCAGCAATTCTAATTACTATTCACTAACTCGGCCAACTACATATTCCAAGAATATGGTGGGGTTTTTTGTTTTTTTTTTTTTGTTGGTTTTTTTTGTTTACTTGTTTGTTTGTTTGTGGGGTTTTTGTTCTGTTTTTGTTTTTTTTTTCTATTTTTCTTGTTCCAGCTGGCTTCAAATAATTAATGTTTTGAGTTCAGGTAGACTGTTCCCAGGCAAAGGTGCAAAAAACCAGCAACTGGGTGCTCATTTAAGCATTCATTTCCTTTAGAAGTAAATAAATGCACACTTACATACACAAATATATATAACAAATACTTCATATAAATATGTCTGTATGTATGTGTATATATATATATATATACATACATACATACAAAATATACAAAGATTTATGTGTTTGTATATATTCACTAAATACAAAGAGGCAAAAGCTGATAGAATCAATTCTAAATAGGCAAACACAATATAGTGAGTAGTCTTGTGGAATGTGGGAGACATGACTTCTGGTTTCTAGCCTGAATTGGTAATGGGACACTTTTCAGTCATGCACTGCATTGCACTTCTGCAAGTGATTATCAGCTGTTTGGGCTCATGGCCCTTTCATTTTCTGCCATTTAAACTGTTAACAGGGTAGGATTAAATATTCAATAGAGTTGTTGTCTACTGCTTATCAAATAAGTGCCTTAAGCATTGAGTATAGGTGATCTCCTTCCATTGACATTTATCATTCAGACAAATTGAAACACCCCTTGCTGAGAGTGGGACATTCTCATGGGACAGGCTCGTGGTCTGCCTGTCTGGCCAAGGAGGGAAGTTGCATGTTGCCACAAGGATTCCTGGTTTCTGTATATTTGTGTATTCTGACCAAATCTATCAGTGAAGTTTTCAGTCAATGCAAATTCAAGAGGCAGTTCTGGGAGGCCGGATGATGGCAGTCAAGGTTTGATGTTGCAAAAACTTAGGGTAATGGCAAGAGGTTGCAATTAGCAGCTCTCTGAGTGTTTCAGCTTCACATGAGAGTCTTGCAGCTGAATCTTCCCACTGCTCTTCGGTGACGAAAGCTTGAATTGCTCCAGTTGGTGACCTTCCAAGTCACACAGTCTCGGGAAAGCTGGATGTGCTAATTCAGCAGAAAGCTTCGGCAGCAGGCTCCAGCAGGAAGCCAAAATAAGCAAAGCAAAGCACCCTGATTTGTATGAGGCAGTTCTGTTTGAACACTTACATTAAGATCCATAGGCTGACTTCTGCTTACACCACCCTCAGACCAAACCCCCTTCCCTTTTTTTTCTTTTTTTTTTTTTAACTGTGAAGAAGCAAAGATAACCTGTTACCAGCAAAGACACAAGGAATCAGGTCTGTGCTAGAAACAGCACTCTGCCATGTTTAGCACCAGGCATGGTGTGAGCAGGTTGCCATCCTGTTCCTGATTTCCTGGTTTCTGGCATGGAAGAGGAAAGCAGTGTTGGCTCTTAGCTAATGTTAGGTGTTTTCTCTCCTGGCTGCTGGGAGCTTGTCTATCAGATCTAGGCATAGCCATGTAAACCAAAAGCAAAATCTTCCAAAGAGTTCCCAAGTCTTGCAATATCTTGTCATCATTTTTACACCAAATTAGGACTCCAGGGATATGCAGAAATCTGTACACTAGAGAATAATTTGCAAAGTAGCACCTCTGTTTGTGTTTTGAATATTGACTAATGAGCCTGATGTCAAACTGCTGAACTGAATTCTGTCCCTGGGCTGTCTTACACCTCTTTCAAGCATTATGCTGCCTGTCATCCAGGTTTGTGAACTATTAAAGGTGGTGTGATGCTATCTCTTCTTGCTGTGGTGGAGCTGTCCATCTCATCACTAAGCCAGTTAAATAATCTGGGATGTTCTAGTGGCTAGGCTCTTATTTACATGGCAGACTTTACAGCACAATTTTGCAAACTGGTGCAAACTAATGCAAATACTGACAGTAGCTATACTGAGAGACAGAGACTGCCGTCCATTGCCACAACACCAAGAGATTTGCACAGGAATGATCGTTTATTTATTTGGATCATCAGCTGGATAGCTTATCTAATTCTGCCCTCATGCAAATACAATAATTTCTAGAAAGTTTGCTGCCTACTTTGTAAGAACATATGTAATCTAATGAGTTTAAGGTTTATATTGCACTCTGCTTATGTGAGGCAGGGTACAGGAATGATTTGCAGTTTATACAGTGACTTCCATTATTCCATTCATTACAATCCTGCAGTGAAGTAGTAGAGATATAAACTTTATCACAGCACATTCTTAGGATCCTATCTTTTAACAGTTTTTGTTGTATTTAAAAGATGTGAGGTTTTTTTTAGTGTGGTTTATTTTTCTTCTTGCTAAATAGAATCTTTGGAGACTTGGCCAAGGAGAGGAGATCTAATTAAATTCATGTAATGATTCTGGGAGTCAATGAAACTCAGTACTCCCACATGTTTACAAATATGTTTTTAAGAGAGACAAATCATTTTAGCATTTGAGATGAAGTGAAGATTAATTTATATGTGGTACAGAGAAGCCTTCAGATGACTGAACTGCATAACCTTTGCCATGAGTTTTTTATGAAGCAGTCTTTCTGAAATCAGTCTTCTCAATCAAACACCAGTTCCTGTGCTCATTCATGTACTTATGAAAATAGGGATGTGCCTACTCAGAGCCTTGTCTGACACCTCTCTGGCCCATGCTGGGGAGGCAGAAGTGCAGGACACCCATGGCAGTTTTGTACAGAAACTAGAATATAGAATATTCTATAGAATATATATATAATAATAGAATGAATCTTGTACCATAGCTTTATTCCTCTAGTCAAACATGGCTATGCCATCTTACTGTTTAAAAGAAAGCTTCTCCTGTTATTGTGCAGCTTCTGGTTGTATCCTGTAGACTTACTGAGATAGGTTTCTTCTGGTTCAGAGGGATCTGTGGTGCAATTTGACATCTGGTATGCATGAGAATTTGCTCACTGCAGAGTTGCTGTATGCAGTTCTGCAGTGGTTATTCAGGAGCTCATGTGTGACAACTGCAGTCCCCTCTACCTTCAGAATATGCAGCTATTTAGAAGTGCTGAGTCTCAGAGTGGGTGGGAGGACAGGAAGCTTCCAAAAATGCCTTAAATTCGGTGATAGCGCTTCAGAGCATCCATTCGGGGTAGAATACAAAGTATCTGAACGGTTTGCAACCAGCATGAGTTTGCCAGATGTTTCACCTCTCTTCAAGTAATTCATGGAGTACAGGGCCCTTCCTTGACAGTAACAAAGCACAGCAAGCTAAGCATCCCTCTGGAGACCATCTAGCCCAAGTACCCATTCAGACAAGTGCCTTCCATCCAGCAGAGCCATAAATTTATGTTTGGAGTGCTCAGACTTTGCACATTCAAGTAACTACATCTTGAAGGCAAGCAGAAGATGTAAGCCCAGTCCACTTTTGCTGTGAGCAAGTCCCACGAGTTTCCACTGAATTAACCTAAGGTACTGCTTCCTCCATTCGGTGCTAAATTTGACTTTTTGGTCCACAAGGAGCAGAGCAAAAATTTTCTGTCTCAGCATTGCTCTCATCAACAATTACTGAAAAAAAACCCCACAATATAACTTATTATTGCAAATGTGTTGCCTTAACAAAGTCAAGATGTGGTCACATGGTTATCCAAGGAAACATCCAGGAATTGCCATGAGACGGGAAAGGTGTGACCAAGCAGGATGTCAAACTCTTGCAACCTCTGTTGGCTGAGCAACTGCTGACGTTCACTGGTTAAACACAGAGAGGTCTTGACAATTCTTGGGTTTTGGGGGGAGGGTTTATTGCATCTGTGGGGAAAAGTGAGATAGTTTTGCCCCAACTGGGAGGAGTAGAAAATGTAGGCAACTCTGTTTATTGACAGATTTGAAGAGTCATATGTACAAGCCAACTATTCTTCTTTTTTTTTTTTTTTATTCTTTTTTTTTTTATTATTTTAAATTTAGTGGGGCTACATCCATTGTCTACAGATGCAGGCAGAAAGGGACCCAGAAACCTTACGCCGTCAAAATGTTGAAGAAGACAGTAAGTCATTTTTGTTTTGCTTTGCTTGGGAATATATTTGGGATCTTCTCTGGGCTTTATTTTTAATTTTATTTCATTTTTGTTTGGTTGGTTTGGTTTGGTTTTGGGCTTTTGTGCTGTTTATTCATGTGGGGGAAATGTGCTAGATTTAGGAGTATAAGCTGCTAAGCTTATATCTTCTATGAGTGAGCTTTGGCTCCTCATCACTAAAACAGCTGTTTGTTATATGTAGTGAGAATGCCTTATCCCCACAAATCTGGCTTGTACCTTCAGCTGGTGTTGTCCATATACACTTGGATTTGGTAAAAAACTTTTAGAAAAAATATGTCTTTTCTTTCACTTAAAAAAAAAAAAAAAAACAACCAGAAAGGACACCTCAAATAATTTAAATTTTTCTTTAATACAGTGTTTTGCTCGAAAAATGCCATGACACAATTCATCTTTTTTCAGAAACTGATTAAAACACTAACTCAAATCAAAATAAAATTTAATATTTTGTAGAGGATTTTTTACCACTATAAAATTGCTAGAGAACCAGTTGAGATGATAATTTATTTTTAGAGCTCCATATATGTCACACTTATACGACAGTTATTTTTGTGTGTTCTAAAAAATTGATGGTGGAAAGCAAGAAGAGAGACTAAGAGAGGAAAGGCAAGTTATGGACTGAGAAACTTCATGCAGAAAGACAGTGTGGGGCATGGGGTAGTTCATATTCCTAGGATGGGAAGAGAAGTCTGAGAGAAATCAAGCAAGCTGTGAGGCTTGTTCATGATATTTATTCATTAATGGTTTTGATTCAGTTTACTCCAGTGTTAGAACATTCATTATTCCGTAATGTTCAGGAGTGTTCACACGTAGAAATGTAAAGATGGGTGGGTAGGTGTACACATGTCCAAAGGTGACTTCACTGGTGGCCTCACTGCAAGACATAATGGGTGAGTTCCACATGAGTAAAATGTTGGCATTAATTTGTTGTCTTTGAACATAAGCCAGGGTTTAAACTGGCACAGAGATCCAGTTGTGTGTGTTGCTTTTAAATTTGCATCTGGTACGCTGGAAGAAGCAGAGCATGTGCATTGCTGCAGCTTGTGGTGTGCTGTTCCTATGAAAAGGCAGAAAATTTTTGAGGTTTCATCAGTTCATTATGCCAGTTATTCCCATAATGTTTTAGGAGTATACTGTCTTACAGTTCTCATTCTGAAATGCACCAGGAGGAACTATATCTCTTAAAAATATTTCTCTGCCTTTTGATTTATTTTTTGCCTTCATGGAAATTAATTCATGTTTACAATTGTCACATTTATGCATTTATGCTAGATCTATTTATTTGTGTTTGAAACTAGTCAATTTAGACTTTGGTAGACTTACTGTAGCACAGGTTTTTTTTGTTTTTCTTGGGTTTTGTTGTTGTTGTTGTTTTAATTTTTTTTAATGGCAATGAAGGAAAATACTATAGTTATGTAAGTTGTTTTCACTTCAGCAATAACTTGGCTTAATGCAGCCTTGGTTTTATTAACAGTGTGGTTAAGCAGTTCACAGAGCTGAGCATTTCCCAGTGAAACTGATGCACTTTGGGATGTTTTGCTGTAAAAACAAGTAATGCCTTTACACAGCTGTATAAATGAGAACATGGGAGACAATGATTTAAGGATGTGCCACTGCTTGTATCTGTCCAAATTGGAGATGTAATTATTATCACAGGGACTGAACTATCTGTGTTAAGAGTGCTCCTACAGACGAGGTCTGATCTTTGCTCTGAGTATCTCAGTATAAAAATAACCATGTATAAAAATAAGTAATGTACTAAAATGTTGATCAGCTTAAGTTTCCTGCTAGCTTTTTGGAAACAATTAGAAAAAAATGATGGCAGTTGAATAGTGAAGGAAAGGGGATAGGAGGAAGGGAATAAGAGCCTGTGATTGTTTTTGGTAGACTCCCATTTCTTCAATTCCCTTTGTAAATTTACACAAGGGAGCTCTGAAGAGCACATGAAATTGGAAGGTGAAGGAAGATGAGAAAAACACAAATACTACTGATTTTTCCATTAAAACTGACTGACTGAATGGAAATAGTCTGCTGCTCTGAACAAGACTGACTGTCTGATGAAGAAGTCTCTAAAAACAAGTGAGGGACAGGGATGGGGCGGTCCAGATTGCTCTAGAAGCCATAGCAAGTGATGTGTGATTAAGAGGCTGATGGGCAGCTCCAGATTTCTGAGTGATGATCACTAAAGTGCTGTAATTTGTAGTAAAGCATTAGAAATTATTACTTTTGTCCCACAAAAACAGCTTAGATAAGAATATATGATCTTTTAGGATTGAAGTAGTTCACTAGGAACAGACTGCAAAAAACCAGAAAATAGCTATCGGTGTTCATTTAAACAGAATGAGTAGTCTTTCATTTTGCATGATTAATGCATTCTCATTTAAGAGCAAATAAATTTTTTGGGCAAGACCTATCATCCAGTCCTGAGAATACATGCTTGTACAGGTGTTCCTAGGAGGTTCTGCTATTATCAGTTTTTATCATCTTGTTTAATAAAATGGCAGTAGATTATTTGCTAATTTCTGAGGGGGTTTGGGGTGAAGTGATTTCATCTGTGGTTTAGAGGCTTTTTATTGCTAGTTAAACTAACAAAGAGTAACAGAACAAAACATATTTATACAAACCTTTCTGTGTGACTAAAATAAAAGAAAGTGTTCATAATATTATATTTCAGTTGGGAGGTTTAATAATTCTTAACCATTAATACAAATTTTTTACAATTACAAAGGGAGGAAGAAAAAAGGTTTTTACTGCTTCAAAATTATTAAAGCAGAATGCTTCCATTTTCTGTTGATTTTAGTTTTGTCATATTCAGCCCAAGTTTAGGATTTGTTTCAAATCCTTTAATTACACTTATGGTGGATAAAATTGAGTTCAAAGGACACCTCTGGTTCTTACATCTGAAGTCCTAATGTCAAAGTTGGGAAACTAAGAGGCAAATTAGAACTTTAACTTCTAGAGCTGCTAAATGCAGCTGTCAGAAGGCTTAAAGAGGTCCAAATAAAAACTGATTTTTGAATTAGCAGGAGAGACACTCTCTGATACTGTATAAGAAATAAAATTTTTAACGGTTCTTGAGAGCTACAAAAAAAAAAAAAAAGTTAAAATGCAACATTTATGGGTCAGATGAACAAGCATGCAAAAATACTGCCTGTGATTTCCTCATCCAACCCTTGTGCGTAGTTCCTGAGCATAACTGAAATGTTTTGCATGCTCATTTGCTATGTTTAACAGATCTCTTAAATTCCACACAGGCAGTAAATGTAAAGATGTGATCCATGTAATTTCTTCAGAGGGAAGTCTATTTCATGAAGCGAGAAAGAAGCAAAAGCAGACCACATAGCCCTTCAGAAAAAGTCATCAAATGAGTACTGTGATGAACTTTTACACTTGCAATTGGAAATATGAGATTGTTTTGCTTTTCACTATGCATTTTACCTCTCCTTGATGAGTCAGTGCTATAGAGAAGTCAAGTATCTTTAGGATACACTTGACAAAAATTATTCTTACTGCTGTTAAATTAAGACTTAAAAATTATGTGATATTTAAAACCAGTCATTCTGGAATGGTTGTTGCTACAAACAACTTACATCATGTGGATCATAGTGGAAGAATGCAGTTCTCTAAGGAAGCAAACATATAGTTGTGCTATTTTTTACATGAAGTCTCTTATCTGCTTTTCCACCTTTTGGTGTGCTTTGAGGAAGCTAAGCAGCCTGAAGATTATCTCAGAATTTGGGTAGGTGAATGCCTTCCAAGAAATTAGATCCACCTCCGCCCTAAATTTCCTACCTGAGTCTGGACAAATTGCTTTAAAAATAGTGATGAGAACAGATGGACTCTGTTACATGGTTTCTAAACTAAGACACCAAGTGCCTGCCTACATTTTAGGTCTCCCAAGTGCCAATTACTGCAACTGAAGTAATTTTAAAGGTGCCATTGCAATAAAACAACATGCTCTGCTGAAAGAAGGAAAGGATTCTGAGCAGGGTTCTGTGTAGCCTGGGTCTTGGCATATCCCCAGTATTTCTTTTGGTTTCAACCTTTTCATCCATAAAAATGAGGTAACGTTGATTTGATTTGCTTCTCAGCAATGCTTTGAAGGATAGCCTGGTTAATAATTATAGGTTCTAATTGATAGGTCCCCTAAGAGCAATTAAGTATTATGAAATATTAGACTGTCTATCTCAGTCAATGAGACATACAAATATAGGGACTGTTTTGGAGAATTTTCATTTTAATTTCCTCCTTTTTTTATGTGTGGGCATCCTCCCTCACACAGTTTGTGATGCTTAAATAATACTTCTCCAGCACTTTCATCAAAATCAGTATTGTCATGGTTTTAAACCAGTAACTAAAAAAATTACTTATTGCTTGCTGTGAGATATGGATTAGAGCAAGAGCAAAACAGGCTTAAAACTTAAAAAGGAATAAAGAAAGTTCATTAACAAAACTACAAGAATAAGAACACCAGAATAAACTTCCAGAAAACCCTTTTATCTCCCACTACTTGACCATTTCTTTGTACACATGACAACATAGAGACAAAAAACTTTAGAACTTTGGTGGTTAAAAACAGTCCCAATTCTTGCTACAGTCTTTTCATCAGTCTTTGTAAAGAAACAGAAGTCTCTTTCTGCTAATCTATGGAGTTTCTCATGAGAAAACTATTTCTGCTATAGTTTTCCATTGCCCTGATGCCAGCTGCCCAGAAATCTGTCATCAGATTTTCTCTTCATTTCACATCACTCTGAGGTGTGTATGGGCCATGAGTCTAGGGATGTCATTTTAAGGATGAGTTATTCAAAGGCAAAAGTCCTCTTCATCTGTCTCTGTGAGCTTCCCTGGAAAACAGTTTTCTCATTGCCCCCAAGGCTTCAAAATCTTCGCTTCACTCTGTTCCAGCACTTCACTGTATCACAATTACTCTCTCTTTTGCTCAAAATCCACAC